CAGTAAAAAGTACCCATAACTAGCAGCTGTTTTAAAGAGTACCTGACCTCCCTTTATATTAATAGAACAATAATGTCATTGTTAGCTAATGAATGTTTCCATGGTGACCAACGGCAACATGACAACGTTTTCATTGGTCCCTCTTCTTTAGAGAAGACCAGGAAATTATGGATACACGGATCGTGTTCAAATCAATAGGCACGCAATGACTCTAAATAATAATGATCACGCCACCAAACACACATTCAAACTAAAGGAAACAGCCTGTTTGGGAAATGAGAGAAGTAGAAAGTAAAGGTATTTGTGTTCAACATGTAAGAAGTAGAAAGTACAGGTATTTGTGTTCAACATGTAAGAAGTAGAAAGTACAGGTATTTGTGTTCAACATGTAAGAAGTAGAAAGTACAGGTATTTGGGTTCAACATGTAAGAAGTAGAAAGTACAGGTATTTGTGTTCAACATGTAAGAAGTAGAAAGTACAGGTATTTGAGTTCAACATGTAAGAAGTAGAAAGTACAGGTCTTTGAGTTCAACATGTGAGAAGTAGAAAGTACAGGTATTTGAGTTCAACATGTAAGAAGTAGAAAGTACAGGTATTTGGGTTCAACATGTAAGAAGTCAAAGTAAAAAGTTATTATTATTATATCCATCAAGGTGCAGTATCTATATATATGTATTGTTTTGATGTATTGATCCCCCTCACCTCGTAGTGGTCCACGTCTCCGGGCGCCGGGCTCCAGGTGACGGTCAGATCAAACGTTCCTGCCTCGACGAGAGAGAGATTCCCCACAGCGGCTGGAACTGGAGAAACACAAAGCTTTAAATTAACACAAACAATAATAAAATATATATAAATAAAGAACATTTAAATAAATAAAATGTGAAAAAAGAATTAAATTCAATATAAATTAATACATTAATAAATGAATAGATAGTGAATACATTTATAAAAAAAATATATATATAAATAAATTAATATAAATTAATATTTTTCTCGGAGCCTCACAGGTGCGTCCGTCAGTGGACCTGCTGCTGACGTAGTCTCCGCTCCACGTTTCCACGGTGACGGTGTACAGTCGCCCCGGCGTCAGCGAGTAGAAGACGCACTCGTTGGTTCCCGCGGAAACGTTCTGGTTCTGCAGCACAGTGTTGTTGTACCGGATCAGAACCTGGTACCGGTCCAGGTCTCCGTCCGGGTTACGCCAGTACACCTGAACACAGAGCGAGGACGTTCGATCACAACTTTATCGTCCAACAGTGAGAGGACAACACAGTGTTTAGTGTCTCCATGGTTACAAACTGACTCACCCTCAGGTAGTCGTCTCGGGCCGAGTGGATGGCATTCGGGTTCTGCACCGTGGCAGGTTCTGCAAATAAAGATAACAAATAACATGTTTTAAATAACACGATAAATAAAATATTCTAATCATTTAAAATTATTAAAATGCAACTCTAAATTAAAACCAACACACCGATACGCTTAAATAAATTAAAAAACACTTGAATGAAAACTACATACGTGTGCGTGCCGTCACCGAGGTGGCGTTCTCCAGCCCGCCGCTCCTCGTCACTATGGTGACGGTGTAAATCCGCCCGGCAACCAGCGAGCTGAAGGAGCAGCTGGTGGGTGAAGATCGTGAGACGGCGAGAGAGTGAACGGTTCTCCCGCCGTCCTGCAGGAGCACCAGGTAGCTGTCAATCACACCTGGAGCCGGTCGCCATGACACCTGCAGGGCGTCACTGTGACCGCCGTTAGTAACCGTTACCTCGGAGACACAGGCGGGAGCTGGGAGAAAAACAGGACATCATTTTTATTATCAATTTGAATGTGTACTAAATACTAAATACTACTAATTAAAAATAATAATAATAACAATAAAATTATAAGAAAATATGCAAAAAAAGCAGTGAATATTTCTGTAAGATTAGAAAGTGTATTTAATAAAAAATAAATAAATAATACAAATGAACAATACGCACATCCATGCTGTTAGTCGGAACATTGTTCAAACTTGATCTGAAATTCTATCGGAGAGCAGTCTGTCCCAAAAATAAACGGCATGTTATGTTGTAAAAACAAACCCAGGAATGTGTGTGTGTGTGTGTGTGTGTGTGTGTGTGTGTGTGTGTGTGTGTGTGTGTGTGTGTGTGTGTGTGTGTGTGTGTGCGTGCGTGCGTGCGTGCGTGCGTGTGTG